CGCTCCCACCCAACTTGGTGTCATCTGCAAACTTACTGAGGGTGCACTCAATCCCCTCATCCAGATCACTGATAAAGATATTAAACAGAACTGGCCCCAGTACTGAGCCCTGGGGAACACCACTTGTGACCGGCCGCCAACTGGATTAACTCCATTCACCACCACTCTTTGGGCCTGGCCATCCAGCTGGTTTTTTACCCAGCAAAGAGTATGCCCATCCAAGCCATGATCAGCAAGTTTCTCCAGAAGAACACTGTGGGAAACCGTGTCAAAGGCTTTACAGAAGTCCAGGTAGACAACATCCACAGTCTTCCCCTCATCCACTAAGCAGGTCGCCTTGTCATAGAAGGAGATCAGGTCAGTCAAGCAGGACCTGCCTTTCATAAACCCATGCTGACTGGGCCTGATCCCCTGGTTGTCCTGTACGGGCTGCGTGATGGCACTCAGGGTGATCTGCTCCATAATATTCCCTGGCACCGAGGTCAGACTGACAGGCCCAGATCCCCAGATCCCCCAGATCACAGCAGCATTCGATAAAAAAAACCAAACAAACAAATAAACAAAAAAAAAAAAAAAACAAAAAAAAAAAAAAAACAAAAAAAAAAAAAAAACAAAAAAAAAAAAAAAACAAAAAAAAAAAAAAAACAAAAAAAAAAAAAAAACAAAAAAAAAAAAAAAACAAAAAAAAAAAAAAAACAAAAAAAAAAAAAAAACAAAAAAAAAAAAAAAACAAAAAAAAAAAAAAAACAAAAAAAAAAAAAAAACAAAAAAAAAAAAAAAACAAAAAAAAAAAAAAAACAAAAAAAAAAAAAAAACAAAAAAAAAAAAAAAACAAAAAAAAAAAAAAAACAAAAAACCCAACCACCCCAAAACCCTCAAGAAACCCAAAAAAACAACTCTACAAACATGAAACAGTACTTTTCATCTTATGAAATACAGTAAAAAGGTAGCACATAGAACACGGTACCTACAAAAAACCTACTGCTACTGAATAATTTAGCCAAGCTAATAAACTGACTTGGAATTCACAGCATGAAATACTGTGGTAGGGTATTTGATGCCACTGCCAGATCATTATAGGTGAGGTGAAAAGAGTATTTCAGATTAAATCCAAGTGGGCCCACTAGCAGCCTAAGCACCTGCCCAGGCTTCAGCATTTTCTACTGTAGCCACCATGTGCTGGAGCTAGAATTAGAAGACAGTCTATTCTGGCAACATTTGAAGTCTAACAGCTGTCAAATACTTTCAACTTGAAGAGAAAGTAAAAGAACAGAAAGAGAAGAGAAAGCCCACGGCCACCAGCCACACCAGCATCGCTTCTCCTTTTGCCCTCTGCACTGCCTAAACAGACACTTCCCAGTGCTGCTCTAATCCCCCAGCACCTCCCACTGGCCACATTTTCTGCTTTACTTCCCCAGTTATGTGTTGGCCAGTCCCCATGATACATCCAATGGAGCATGTCCCACAGAATAAGTGAGCAGCACTACCTCAGAGGAACTCTTGCCCTGACTGTTTCAGAATTCATCCTCAAGAACCTTTTACATCAAGAAGTCTATCCTGTGCTCTTCTGGTTGGAACAACATTAAAGTTCCTCATTTTTTCAGAGGCTGAGAAGTTTGAGGAGGAGGTAATTAGAGCAAATGTCTATCTGTTTAAGCAATAGCTTACAGTCAATCACTTGGGTCTTCCTACCCAGCTGTGGGAAGCAGATATAGCAAATTGTAGGAACAATTTTTATACGTGAATATCTTACAGACATAAGACAACTATTCAAAATCTGATTAAGCCCATGATACCAACCCAAGCCAGTATCTGTTGTGTTGTGAAGTAGACAGCAAGACAGGGATCATCTGAAATGGAAAACTGGGAAATCACAAGTCCATCACCTACAATATTAAGTGCAGTACAAGAAAACCATACTGAGCTGCTTTCAAAAGAATTATACTTTTATACTTATGTATACACCCTTCCTTTCTTTGGTACTGAGCAGTTTATAAAAATGAAATTAGTATTGCCTTAAAAATGATGATAGGATGTTAATTTTGCTGTTGTAAAAATAATCCTTGCTTACTAAAAGTGCTTTATCCATGCATTTTGTAAATGGAGAGTCCACCACATTCCTGGCTTGTACACATGCTAAACGTTGCACTAACGCTTTTTGTAAAGCTTTCCCATCCTCGTTTCTATTTCTGTAAATGGGGATTGCAAAGCAAAAACAGACTGAAGCTCAGACACAACCCTTCTCTCACTCACACCAAGGTAAGAAGAAAGTATCAGTATTGTAAAAGGAAGGGAAGCAGGTACCACTTATTTATGGCTATTTTGAATACCTCCTGTTTCTAAAGTCTTTTAAAACACAGGCTAGAGCTCTACTCAGTTCTCCAAAACTTACAGAATCAAAGATTTTGGTACAAAACTGATTAAAATCTGCAATACTATTTTCCTTTCAATATAATTGTTGTTGCACAAGATGTCATGATATACTCATGAGTTAAATTAAGCTCTTCCGTGAAATAATACCAACCAATGACTTCATAGAAGAAACAGTCATTCATCTCACGTCAAAGATCTCGCCGTTTGAAGTACAACTCACAATATAACTGTCACCATTTCAAGACTTCTAAACTTCTGCCATGACTGACTCGTTAAACAGCCTCCTTCCTTTATTTCTACTGAGCGAAAGAAATAGGTCTTCTCTTCGCCTCCAGAATAGAGGGTTGGGTTGTTTTTTTAAAATGAATTTGGTATTCACACGGTACCTTGCACAGGTCACAGAGATGGGCAACAAGAAGAACCAGGGCCTTTGCATAGTAAAACTAAGCATTGCGATGGACAGAACACAACACACATTTGTTTGTTACATGTGCATTAGCTAGATAGTGACCGCGTACATATTTAGGAAAACATATCACAACCACAGCATGAGAGACTCCTAGAAACATTTTTCTTTTTTACCTGGTCGTAGTGTATACAGGCCTTTCACAATATTTGCCATGGTTGAAGGAGTTATTTGAAACGGCGTTGACTGAGCTTCCAAAAGTAAAGCTGAAATAAAATTAAGAAACTTAGCAATTTTTCTAATCAAGAAATATAGGCTCTTATGCATACATTTTTGTATCAAAGAAATACAGTAGTTGTGCTTTTTTGTTATCTGATGTCCCCACAAAGGAAGCAGACAGGTACCTGACTGACAACTTAATTCTCAAAAGTAATAAAATATCACCTTTAAACAGAAGTATTCTGTTCAAATTATGCATGATGAAAATGTGAAATAACTTATTTTTCATCCGTTTTCAGACAGGCAGTAGGAGTTGTGAGGAAAAACCAAGCAAGCAATGGCTCGAAGTATTCAGATGCAGAACTGAAGTAAACAATTTATTTTTAGAAGCACTCTCATACCGAGTGTGCTAAACACCTGAAGATCCACAAATCCTCGCTTTACAGTGTTTAGCATCTTGTACATAGAACTAAGGATGGATTGAAAGTCTATGAATGAAGTACAAGTAGAGTGAAAAAAAATGTTAAAATCAAATAAGAAAAGTTGCTCTTTTAAACACAAGTGAACATTTTTATTTCATTCTTGGCATCTTCTGTAGTAAACATTGCAATAATTGCATCTTCCTCTTGTGGAAAAAACTGGCAATAGCACATTTACTGCTTATATTACGATATCCAGGCCTTTATCCTGTCTTGTATTTATGTGAGGTTTGTACGTTCATCTGAATTACAGAAACACACACACAAAAAACCCAAACCCACCACAAGGTTTAAACCAACTGCTGCCTCTCAGTTTTTATTCTTGTACAAAGGAGTTGAGCAATATATACACCTTTGTACCCACTACGTAGAGGAGAAATGACTCTTACAATTCTACCTAAAGGGCGTATCTCTTGTGCTTACATTGTAGAGATTCTGCTTTTTAAGCTTCAGAGCCTCTCCAGTTCTAGCTTCAGCATCTGCCACTATAGTACTTACCATACAAAGAAAAATCTTCAGTAGCATGTTCTTCTGTTTCTGAAACTGTTTAAGTGGCTCATGTAATAGGGAGATTAAAAAAGAAAGTATTTTGTCTAACCTCCAAGCAATCAAAGTTGTTACATTTAACTGTTACAGATGAATTTGTTTTACAAAGAACCATCTTAAAAGTGCTTGCTCCTTTCAGCTGAAGCCTTGAGGGGGTGACAGCCTGTGATTTGTTTTGTAATGACATATAAACATTTTTCAAACAGCCTTTTGGCAAGCAAGGAAGTTGCAAATCATAAAATATGATTTATAAGGAAGATATGTGACAGTAATGCACATTCCAAACAATGTGTATGTATATACATATATATACATATCTATTTAATTAAGACTGTAGCTACTTCAGCCTAAGCTTCACCAATAGATTTGCAAAGTGTCCAGAGAACTGTAAATTTGTTCTTCATTATATTAATTTTATATATATGATGAACATTATATATATGTTCATCAAATTATATTCCTAAGATATGTATAATAAATTATTTAAAACAAAATAAGCCTAGGAATTAATACTGACATAAAGACCACAAAGTCCAGAGTTAAAAGTCACTTGAACATTTTGAAAGATGTTAAGAAAATCAAATTAACACGGCTTCTTGAATTTATTCCTGATAAACTGAAAATTGTGCTCTCAGTAGTGTCCAAGTTATAACTAGTAAAAGCAATTAAAAATATTTCAGAAGCTACTTTATATAACTGTATATGTACAGGACATACTGTGGGAGAGAAAGAAGCTGGTCAGAGATGCTGTGGGGACAAACACAGGCGTTAACGGAAGCTGCCCACAACCACATAACCAACTAGAGGGCATCTTACTACTTGCATACCTCTGAGTAAAGGGAAAATTGCAAGCCACACTTTTTCCATCTACAGATGAAATATGAAATACTCTGAGCAGTCGTACATACTGTCATCTTCCATTTTTATTTTTTTTTAATTAACAAGGAATGAGTAGATGGCAGAGAAACAAAAATTTTATTTTATGGTATATATGGATCAAAGACATGATGAGCACACCAGACTGGCGGCCCACCTCATTCCTCTCAGCCTGTGGTACTGGAGACATGCTGGGGGTGCAAGATGCTCCACCCTTTCTTCTTCCCTTCCAGCTAATGGAACCCCCCCGCAGCACTCCCACAAGTGGTCCCTTAACGTGCTCAAGGAGCTGACCAACAGAATTATTTGCACAAGCAATAGTTTAAGAGGATAGTCCACATCTTGAGTGTAGTTCACCATTATAAATATGCAATATTATTTGTCATTTTAAGGCAATATTCACCCATGAAGCTCATTTCAGTTGTGATCCTTTGAGATAACATCAACATACATATTTGCAATATAAAGCAAGTATAATGAGCAGCCACTTGTTTCTGTTCTTGATTACTGACCACATTACCTGGCATCAGAAAGGGATTTCATTAATAAAATCAGTGGAAGAATTCACCTGAAGATCAAGCCTACAGAAATACCTTCTTCATCACTTCATTGCTGCTTCAGAAATTAACGTTTATCTTCGTTTTTGCAACTGCACACACCACATGCTACACTGCAAATTTAAATCGCTCCCTCCTGAGGTACAGTCAAATACAAGCATGATGGTATTATATTCAACAACAATATAACAAATGGCATATATTTCCTGTTTCTCAATAAAGAAAACTAAAAGAATATACTATTCATTAAACCGTCCAGTATAAGCTAATCCAGCCTACACCTTTCCCAAAAGCTAGTTATCAATACCTGAAGAATGAATAGCCCTGCTGTGGGATATGTATTTTCAGAATGATTTCTGTAAGAATGAACAAGACTCCTCTCTTTGGATAGACCCAAAAAAATCTCAATGCAGGTTTATAGACAAAGATGTAAATAGATGTAAAATTTCTCTGCACACAAATTCATCTTCAGTTTTGCAATGAAACCCACCTAAGCGTTCAATCCTATATTACTTCTTAAGAGAGGGTCACTTAAACTCAAGGAATAGAAACAGCTGTACCAGACATGCTGAAGTTACCTCTGTTGTTATTTTACAATCTTACGAAAGACCTTCAAATATTAAGGCTTTGGCTCTTGCTTTATTAGAATAATTAATGAGACTTTACAACACAGAAGTTGCACAGACTCCTTCTACCTACTCCCAGAAGCTCCACCTGCGGCACTTACAAAAATAGAGCTGGGTGAGGCAGAATAAAACTAAACCTCAGATGAATGACAGCAGTAATGACACTATGATACTATCTGACCACCTCCACAGTGTTTATGAACTAATACTGCATTTTACAGACTAAGTAACCAATATGCAAAGAAGTTAATTAACCTGCAAATAGTCTTGAAAATAACTCATGGCAGAATCAAAGAAGAGAAGTGTGGGTTCCCATGATGAAATGCTTTAATTGCAGAAAGATACAAGATGCTTTGAAATATTGTTGAACCAAGGTAAGACACAATACCCAGAATGGCCTCGGGATTTTTTTTGAGGAACAATGGATGAACCATATTGGAAGAATAGAGGTATGAACCTGCAGGACTTCAGGTACTCTGCAGTAACCGAGTTACTCCATTATTGCACAGTAACACTGAAGCGGCTTGTCCCTCGACGGGGGTTCAAGCTACTTCCTAATTACAGTGGGGCACTCGGGGACCCCAGGAATTCCAGGAGCAGTAGATGATATCTTCACAAGTTCAAACTCACTTGTTCATAACTCAAGATTCACTTGCAAAAACTAAACATTAGCTGTTCTAAAAATCTTTTTCTATCCTTCAACATTCCTTTCAAAATAGATTTATTTTGCTTGGCAAAGATGTAATTTTTCTGGCAGAACAGTGAAACTTTGGCAGTTAGTGCACAAGATTTTTTTTTTCCTCCCTTTGCAGTAATCTAATAGAACTTCAAAGTAAGATATTTTAACAAATCATACATAAGTATGGCTTAGGCAGATGTGTTCAAAGTTGTAATTATTCAACAATGCACTTAAAAAAATTATAAAGCATATTCCCATTAAAATCAACTCCAACAGCTTCCACAACTAAGGCGTTAGCCAGCTGCTTCTCTCCAGTCTTCAACAGAAGCAGAACCGATTGCTTAACAAAGCTGCAAAGTAAAACAGATGTATTCCAGAGATCGTTATCCCATTGTACAAACTGTGCTCTTTAGCACTTAATTCCAGTATGGATGCAATATTTATACTGTTTTGCAGAATAACAACTAATATTTCCACAGAATTTGAGCCCTTACACAACGGTACGTGAGATAGACAGGGATGCGCGGTGGTAACGATGGAGCTATCACCAGTGCACAGCCTAAACAAACCTTACTAGCACAGGCACACTTGGCAGTTCTGCCTTTTAGGAATATCATCAGATCACATGTAGTCAAATCTGTAGTATAATAAATTACCTTTCTCTCCACTAAATTATATCAGGTCCATCTGACCACACATACCCTTCTACTTCACTGTGATAACATCAGATTCACCTTGAACATGGCTCCCGTATCCCAACGTTACTCCCAAATCCAGTCCATGCAAAGCGCTTGATTGAACCCCACATGCCAACAGCGATTAAATAGCAAGGGAACCGCTACGGCTGGCATCCATGATGTGGCTGTAGGTTTTTGGTGTTGTTTTGGGTTGAGATTTTTGGGGATGCTGGTTGGTTTGGGGTTTTTGTTGTTGTTGTTGTTATTCTTTGGTGTTTTGGATTTGTTGGGGGTTTTTTTGCCTGCTGCCTATTTTATTATTGACTGATGAAGCTTGATCGTATATTACCTCTTCATTACTTTAACCCAGGTACAATTTGTACATGTTAACTATCGATCTAGAACTTCAAAAGCCTTTTGCATGAAAGCCGACCTTCCCTCTGGCTAACCCTCATGTTTGCAGTTACTTCAAACTCCTTGTGACTCTGTATTTTTATTTTCCTTTAAACAGAACTAAAAATAAATTTTTAGCAACTTAAATTCTTCAAAAGTTTGTAATGAATTAAAATGTAGATTAGAAAAAAAACATGAAAAGTTTATTTATTAC